TTCCACTTCTTGTAAATGGAGAAATGCAGCATTGCATCAGTGTCTCTGCAGTGAATGGGTGCCGTCAGAATGAGAGTCCAGCTGATAAAAACATCACAATAATCCACAAGTAATCCACAGCACTCCAGTCCATCAGTTAACATCTGGAGAAGACTAAAGCTGAAACAAATCCAGCATCAAGACGTTTTAACTCAAATACATTGAGTACATAATCCATAATAACTCTTCCTCCAGTGAAAAAGTGTTCTGGTGTGAATCAGGAGAGAAATCTGCACAGATCAAGCAGCGTTTAAACAGCTCTAAACTAATATGTGGCTGGATTTTGATGTGAGAGACAACAGGAGATGCACTTTTTCACTGGAGGAAGCGTTATTATGGATTATGGAAGGAAAGCAAAAGAATGATCTGTACATCTCTATATCCACTCCATCTGTCACACTCAGATTTAATGGCGTTATTTAAGAATCCTCTCTGTTCTAATTAGGATTCAGTTAACATCTCTGCCTCTCAGGACCGTTTCTTCTTAATCACACGCAGACAGAACAAAAGAATCTTCAGATGTACAGCTGATTCTACTTCTGTCTTAAAGTCAACATGAAACTGCACTCACGACCCACTTTACTTCCACAGCCTGATGAATTTCTGAGTGAAACCGGACATTCAAAGAGAAAGAAAGTGATTAGAACTGACTGGATGTTCAAAAAACAGCAGGGATTCATTCAGAGATTATGAAAACACACTTTTTTTCTTTATAAGGAGCAGTGGAGGAGCTGAACAGTTCTCAGTGAGTGTAGAGGGGGATTGTGGGTAAAGTGTGCGGCAGTAACAGTGTGTTGTGTTGGCAGGAGAGAGAGAGACACTGTGGGCATCTTTGAAGACGCCGCAGCAGGAGGGAGAGCTGGGAACATGTGTGACACACACACACACACACACACACACACACACTCACACACACACACACACACACACACACACACACACTCGCACGCACACACACACACACACACACACACACACACGTGTTCAAATACTGCCATCAAAGCGAGGCAGAAATGTCAGGCCTGCTGCGGGGAGTTTCCCAGAATGCCACAGGAGATGGAGACACACCGCCATTCATTCCCATTTGTTTAAATGTGTCATTTGCAGCTTTCTTAGTTTAGTCTACACTGTTATTTAATTTCATTCTATTTTGTGTGTGATCTACACTCTGAGCTACACTCAAAGGCAGAGCAGGAGTATAAAGCAGCAGAGAAAGACAGAGATGGTTGTTGTTGTTGTTGTTGCCGCATGCATTGACAGCTGTCAGATGAGATGACAGACTGAGCGGACGAGTGTTAAACGAGTGAATCACTCCTGTTTCATCACGTCATCCATCTTCAGCACCATCTGAGTGTCAAACAAACAAGATAAAGAAACCAGGGAACACGCTCAGAAACACGTGCTGGTCTTGTCTGGACATTGTTTATTTGGTTGCTATTTGGAATGTTAGTGGGTTGCTATGCGGTTGCCAGGTGTTCGAAATGGTTTCTAAGTGTTTTTTTCCCCCAGACTGATATGAAAAGATTATTCTGCTTTCTAGACAGGTTTCCTTCAATGTGCATCGTGTGGGATTTATTTCAGCTGTTTTGCTCTTACGCTCAACTTTTAGTGTTTGGTTTAGATCACTAACCTCGTGTGATGTCTTAGCAAAAACAAAGAAATAATCAAAGGGACTGATGGATAAGACTGTGTTTGTGAAGTGGAAATAATAGGGAATTAGGACTGTCTCTGAAGACGACGGAATTAATCCAAAACGAATTAAAGCAAAGACACAAACACGAGGCTTCACAGAGATGCACACAATCTCTCAGCGAGCACGCAACCACAACACAGAGCACCACAAAAAGTGATTAAGTGAGAAATAAACGATTTAAAAAGAAATTAATAACATGAGCAGAGATACAAAGAGCTGCGGAGCGTCTGCTCTCTAGCGCCACCAACTGTGACAATCAACTCTGACTGAAAACAGCATATAACTATCATAACAATATCTACATGCACTATATTTAGAGCAGTGTTTCTCAAACAGGGGATGTCAGCAAACTTCCAAATGGAAATTATTTGAATATATTAATAATTAATAAACGAATAATTAATATATTAATAATATTAATGCATTCAAAATATAATTTAAATGCTAAAAAACATCAGATGTAAACTGAAATTATATAAATATAAAATATAATTATACAAATTAAGTGAACAAAACATAAAAATCTTGATTGCATCTTTTTTTTAGCATTTCAATATATTTTAGCATATATATTTACATATATATATATATATATATATATATATATATATATACACAATTTGAGTTTACATCTTGATTGTATACTTTTTTAGTATTTAAATTGTGTCAGATTTGATATTAATAATTCTATTAATATTAAAAAGGTGTGTGTATATACAAATATATAAATACACTGAATATTATTAATAAATTTAAATAATTTATAAAAAATGCTAATCATAATGCTAAAAAACAATCAGCAGTAAACAAATTACATAAATGTAATATACAATTTTAGAATTACTTTATAATTACTAATATTTTTTTATTAATACAATTATTATTGCTATTAAGTGTATTAATGAGATCTAAACTGAAATTACACATTTTTCGGGACATTTAGAATTTTCTGGAATCACATAAAGAATTGTGACTAATTGATATATATATATATATATATTAATTAATAAGTTATTAAATAATAAACAAGAAGCAGGTTTGTCATAATTACAGCATAAATACCGGAGTAAATATTTTATCTTATATCTTTGAATATTGTGTTGGACAATGGGAGGCATTTGAGTCAAAAAGGTTGAGAACCAATGATTTAGCCTCATAAGGCCATATAATAAAATTAGAACATCATGACTGTGATTGGTCCGCTGGTGATCACGTGACTGATGCTCAGAACAACATCATGACTGTGAGTGTGATGTTTCTTTTATACAACAGTTCAATACACAAGTTAAAACCGAGTATCTCACACCAAGACAAATTCCTTGTGTGTGTAGACATACTTTGCAGACGCTACACACAGATATGATGTTTAATTTTGCTCTCTCATTGAAAACAGCTGCAGTAAACAAATAAACCAGTGAAAGGGAACTGCTGAATAAAACACAAAATAATAAATAAATGAATAAATACAAAGAAAATGTAACTTAATATTTAATTTACACAATATTGACTGAAAATACACTAAAAATGATCTGAATTACTAAAAAAAATAATATTATTATTATACTTAATTTACACAATATTTAGGGAAAATTCACACACTATATATATATATATATATATATATATGTGTGTGTGTGTGTGTGCGTGTGTATAAACAATATTTATTGAAAATTCACAAATAATCTGAAAATCTGATTCACTAAAAAAAATTGTTTTTACTACAATTTTTTTTACTTACCAAATGATACTATTTTTACTTTACAATTTAAACTAAGAACATTTTATTTAATATTTAATTTCACCAAATTTTGTAAAAATCCACTCGAAAATATCTGAATTATTAAAATTTGTTTACAACATTTTACTAAATAAATTTACTAATACAATATTTACACAATATTTAGTGAAAATCCATTAAAAATAGCTGGAAAGTAAGTGTATTACTCACTGATTGAACTGATGAATTTCTGTCGCATCGCTGATATATCAGTTGCTCACTAGATTGATGCACAAAAACTTTAAATAATAAATGAATGAATGAAGACTGTACAGCAGAGAGAATCTAATATTTCTAATCTAATGCTGCACATGAACTGAATATTACAAAATATCCCCCAGAATTACCTGAGAGTCTATTGCTAATGTGACATTCATAGTAAATGTTTGTTGTCAAGGTGAGTGAAGTGAAGCAAAAGCGCCACCTGGTGTAAAGAAGACGCCACTGCATGGAGAAAACACCATCTCTATTAATGAAGGCCAGAGACAAATTAAACACCTACAATTGTGTAAAATCTCTCTTTATTTATTCAGCTCAGCATCGTTCCACCTGTACAACCGCAGGAGATCTGATGGGTCTGTTGAACATCACAATCAACAGAAACCAGATCCAGAGAGCATCCCTCCGGTCCGATCTTCATTATTTACAGCCTGCATGTCCAACACAGATCCAGAAGAAAAGGTGCATGAGAGAATCAATGCAACACCCTCAAATAAAGCCACAAAATCATTTACAGTCTCACAAAGGCTCCGGGACGAGAAACAGTCAGAGAGAACCAACAGAATAAGGAGACACACCAGCAGACGAACGTTTGGACATAAAAGACTGCATTTATGTTTAAAATGATCCTAAAAACATCTGCGTAAATGACTGAAATTAGTTTGGTAGACAAAAATAAGCTGTGCCTATTTTTTTTGAAGGAAATTCTCTTTATCTTCCTCTTTTTTTTTTTTTAAATTGCAGATTCTTATTTTTTATGGAATATTGTATAAGTGATTTATCAATGCAACACCTGACAAATACAGGTGAAAATTAACCATGCCGGTTAACACATAACTCACCAGCCATATTGGCAGGTTATGATTAGTAAATTATGTTTTCCAATATTAGTAAAACAAGGCGTAAAGATGGTGAAAGCGGCATGTCTCTAAAATTAAAATACATTTTTAAAAATTAAATAAAAAAACAAATGCAACAAAATAAACACTGAAGTAGCTGAGAATTTGAGAATTTTATTTTAATCTATTTTTATGGTTTCTGTAAACAATGATCGACTGTCATAAATCTTTAATGATTCAGAATCAGGTTTAATAATAAATATATTTAAATCTAAGATCTGGTTTATCACTGATATTTTTGTTTTGGATTGTTCTTATTCTTTTTTTTTTTTATTCTTAATGGTTTTAATACAATTAGATACATTTTTATTCTTTGCTTTTGTTGTTGTTATTTTTTTTATTTATTGTGCATGCTTTTTTATGTATTATGCATCAATTGTGATCATTTTATGATTATTTTGAATCCTTTTTATATAAATCACTATGAATGACCACTGTGCATGAAATATGCTATATCCAATAAATAAGTGATAAAGTTGATGAGTGATAAAGTTCATTTCAAACTTTGATCACAACAGGAAAGAAGAGGCGGTTGCAACTTGAATTTAATGTTAACTTTAAACGAGTTTTGACTTCCATTTGTGTGATTTCAGAGTTTGCACACTTTACTATTATTGTAGAAAATAGAATAAATAATGTGTCCAAATGTTTGATTGCTACTGTACGTCATCCCTCTGCAGGCTTTGTGGAAATGACCCACAAGCACTCGGGAATGTCTGAGAATGGAGATAAAAGCGTCTCTGGCTTCAGCTCGCGCGTCCCATCGGATGACGGCACCAAAACGGCGTCACGACGACTCTATCCAGAAGATATAAGTATAAACACGAGTAACGACGCGTCCCTGTCCTCTCATCCGTTTTCTGTCAGGCGATAAATCAGTGTGAGTGTTCGTACACATGTAAGCGGAGCTCAGCAACAAAAGACAGGAAATTGATTTCAGCAGGAAACTCCGAGATAAAAACATCTGGGATATTAATAAAAGTCAGAAAGAGCAGCGGAGGAGAAAGATGAAGAAGATACGAACACAATAAAGCGCACAGATTCATCATTTACTATCCAGAGACGGACAAAACTGCAATAAACATGTTTTTTACGTGTTTAGATATTTAGTGTGAGAAACGATCCGTGAAAAAGAGAAAACGAGCGACAGATGCGAGTTCATTGGCCGACCGTCTCGTCCAATCAGGCGCCGGTCTGCTTTTGACTGACAGCGGCTCTGTGGGAAGTCAAAGGGTTGTGGGCAGGGTTTATCATGAAGTTTTCCCTCATCTTGCATCCCATGTGAAAGACAGGATTAAAGAGAGCACAGATGGAGTAGAGTCGAGGAAAGACGGCGCCCCTGGGTGAGTTTGGAGCCCAGAAATGTGTCCGTCTCGACCGTTTCTGCAGGACAGCTCTTCAGCTGGAGTAGATCTGGGTGCTGATCACACGCATGATCTCCTTCTGGATCTTGGGCTCCTGTGTGTTAATGTTAGCATCTCCCACCTGACCGTCCTCATACCTGACACACACAGATCACATTAAAACAATATTTCATATGTGAGCCTGCAGCACAAAAGCAGTCTTAAGTCGCTGGGGTATATTTGTAGCAATAGCCAACAATACATTGTATGGGTCAAAATTATAAATTTTTCTTTTATGCCAAAAATCCTTAGGATATTAAGTAAAGATCATGTTCCATGAAGATATTTTGTAAATTTCCTACTGTAAATATATCAAAACTTAATTTTTGATTAGTAATATGCATTGCTAAGAACTTCATTTGGACAACTTTAAAGATGATTTTCTCAATATTTAGATTTTTCTGCACCCTCAGATTCCAGATTTTCAAATAGTTGTATCTCAGCCAAATATTGTCTGATCATAACAAACCATACATCAATGGAAAGCTTATTTATGATGCATGCATAAATCTCAATTTCGAGAAATTGACCCTTATGACTGGTTTTGTGCTCCAGGGTCACAAATGTTATACTTGAATACTACAATATTCATGCTTTGTAAGCAGCTTTCGCTTGACAGTAGCCTATTAGTGTTGTTATTGTTAACTGAAACTATTAAAATCGGTTTCGTTAATTGCAATAAAGCTGAAATAAAACAAAATATAACATATCAAAAACAAACGAAAAATTTTGCATTGGCGACTAACTGAAATAAAATACATTCAAGTATTAAAATGACTAAAACTAAAGCTGACAAAAAATAAAGCTAAATGCAGAAATTAAAAAGAGAATGAAAATGACAAAAGCACATAAAATGAAAACTAAAAACATAAAAAGCTATGAATAAATACTATAAAAGTACATAAATAATACTAAAAATAACACTAGTAACTACTGGTAACTAATTAACTACTGTGCAATATGCAAATTCAATCATTTATCAGACCGCCTGTGCATGTCACAATTTTTGTGCACTTTTCACCCTTGCACATATCTATAATAATATCTGTGCATAGGTTATCTATAATACATATGTCTGTGCTTTGTGTATTTCTATATATACTCTATTTACTTTATTTTTGATAAAATCGCTGCAAAAGAAATTTTTTTCCTCACTGTTTTTGTTTTGTTTTCCGGTACAAATATCTAAACACTCTTAAATCAAGATACATTTACAAAATGACATAAAATAAGAAGTCTTGTTTTCTGAAAAAATGTATCATAATTGAGTTTTTGCTTAAAACGAGAAAAAATCTGCCAGTGGGGCAAGAAAAATAATCTTGTTTTTCCTTTGAATGAAGTTAATTTTTGCCCCACTGGCAGATATTTTGATGCATTTGATGCAGGAAAAAAAGACGTAAATTGTCATTTTGCATCTCAAGTAAATGTTTCTTGATGCATGAATGTTTTGATATTTGTACTGGAAAACAAGACAAAAATACTGAGGAAGAATTTCATTTTTTCTTGAGATCTCGACATTACAAAATAGTGGATTTCTCGAGTTTTCGACAGAAGATAAGTTGTTTTCATGATTACAAAATAGTAAAATAGTTGTTTCTTGTGATCTCGACATCAACACCGACCCATTATCCAACAACAGCACTAATTAATTAATTAATTACCTCAGGCGTTTGCCTATTAAGAGTGCTGTATTTTTGCTGTAGATTAATCACATAAAAAGGAAAATACACACAAAAATGTTTGTTTTGTTTTTATTGTTCAGTGTTATTGTAGTTATCTTGTAGTTAAAACACATTTAAAACCATTTAAAACACATTTCCGTTTCTTGAAATAAAATGAAAATGAACCAAAATAAAATTAAATATAAAAGATTTCAGCTAGCTGCCAAGGCAACATTTTTCACTTTAATTTAGTTTAACTTGATGCACTAAAATAACTAAAACTAAAACTGAAATAAAAATTAATAAAATTATACAGACATATAAGAAAAAGAAAAACTACCAAAGAACCCCAACAACAAAATTAATAAAACTTTAAGTAAAATTAAAATGAAAACGGAAAATATAAAAACTAAACTAAACTAAAATAATGATACTAAAAATACAGTTTTATTATTATTTGTTATTTTATTCTAGTGCACAGAAAATTGAATCCCGATCACGAGAAAACATCTCGGATCGCCAGAAAACAGCCAGTTTTTTATGTCAAGATCACGAGAAAACAAGCTTTTGTTATGTCGGGCTCACAAGAAAATTAAGTTGCGATCAGAAGAAAACAAGAAAAAAGAAATGCATGGTAGACAGATACTCACACGAAGAAGAAGCGTGTGCAGACGTGGTCAGACACCGGACACACCCAGATGTTCCCATGTTTCTGCAGGTCTTTGGACGTGATCACTGTCAGCACAGAAACACAATCATATCATGTGTCAGAGGTTGGTTGAGATACAGGATTTCAGCACACATGAGGGAATTCATTGAGCAATATATATTCAAACTAAACCGAGTGAATTGTGAATTGTTAGAGCAGGTGAGATCTCAGATGTTTTACCTTCACAGAGAGCGATGCAGTTTAAATTCCTGCTCTGGAGGAACCGCGACTGTATGGGGCGACTCTATTGAAGAACAAATAACTCACATTTACTCCTCTGAGAGCCGAGCACAGATCACATGTTTTTAATGCTTCTGTCGTACCTGTGGCATTGTGTTCATTCGATTATATTGCTGGACTAACTCATCTTTAGTGGGCATGCGATGCTGTCCCTTCCCCATTCCTGAACACACACACACACACACAGAAATAAAATCAATCAATCAATCAATCAACATTTGATCTTACATTCATCCCTTTTCCAGTGCTGGTGCTCAAATGTGACCCTGCAGCACAAAAGCAGTCTTAAGTCGCTGGGGTATATTTGTAGCAATAGCCAACAATACATTGTATGGGTCAAAATTATACATTTTTCTTTTATGCCAAAAATCATTAGGATATTAAGTAAAGATCATGTTCCATGAAGATATTTTGTAAATTTCCTACTGTAAATATATCAAAACTTAATTTTTGATTAGTAATATGCATTGCTAAGAACTTCATTTGAACAACTTTAAAGATGATTTTCTCAATATTTAGATTTTTTTGCACCCTCAGATTCCAGATTTTCAAATAGTTGTATCTCAACCAAATATTGTCATATCCTAACAAACCATACATCAATGGAAAGATTATTTATTCAGCTTTCAGATGATGTATAAATCTCAATTTCAGAAAAATTGACATTTATGACTGGTTTTGTGCTCCAGGGTCACAAATGAGGCCAGAACAGAATCGGTCCATGTTTCCACTGAGAGTTTTTATGTAACTTGCATTCAAACTTTTTTTCTTTCTTAGAATATAAAGCAATGCTCTAAGCGAGATCCCAATTTCGTCGGTCAACCGACGTGACGTCGGGAGTGACCGACTGAAAGGGAACTATGTATTCAGTATAGTTCTTTCTAGAATTTATTATTTATACATTATGTGGACTTTTTTGACAGCTATAATATTAACAGAGGTGTGTTGGTTGATTGATTTTGTAATTGATAATTTGGTCATTTTTCTACATGCAATTAATACCCAGCTATTAACCAGACTGAGTTGCTGTTGTAGGTGAAAACATTATCCAGTCTTCTGGTCCATGATGTTTGTGGTGTTTAGTTTGATCGGTAGGTTTAAGCGTCTGGTACAGAGCTCATTTTTCATTGATGGAAACATGTGAGATCAGACTGGACCTCGACTTGTGACAGTGTTTATACACTGCAAAAATCTTTTAGTTTTATTTTTGGTCAGTATTTCTTGTTTTATAGTCAGATTATAGTCAGATTTGACTTGTTTTCCAGTTTAAAAAAACGTTACTTGAGAAGTAACATTGCATGAGATTTTATGATTTGCTTTTAAGAAAATTAATAATAATAATAATAATAATAATAAATTAATATTTTTTTATTATGATTTTAAATATTTTTTACCCCGAGATTTTCTTTTTCAGTTTTCCAGTAAAAATATCTAAACATTCTTAAATTAAGATGTAATTACTAATGACATTAGATAATAAGTCTATGAAAAACAGATCAAAATTAAGTGACTTTTTGCTTAAAAAAGACCCCAATAGGGTCAGAAAAATAATCTCGTTTTCCCTTTAAATAAACTTTATTTTTCTTACATTGGCAGATTTTTTTATTTAATTTTTTTTTTTTTCTTTTTTACATTTGTACAATTACATTCTTCAGAAAACAAGACTTAATATCTCAGATATCTATTAATGTCAAGTCATTTTGCTTCTCAAATAAATGTAACTTTAAGAATGTTTAGATATTTGTTCAGCAAAAACAAGACAAAAATACAGAGGAAGAAACTCGTTGTATTTCAATAGAAATGAACAAAAGGTAGAGCAGATTAGGGCTAAAACAAGAGGTTAGAAAAAGTCTCGTCTTACACAAATGTGCTTCTTTTGCTTCGTAAATGTATTTTGTTGTAAGGATATTTTCAGACAAAACAAGACGAAGAACATGTTTGTTTGCAGAGTGGAAAAGGAAAAACAATCAAGCACATACAAAAAAAAAACATAAATCACACAGAATCAAAAAGAGTGTGTCCACGCACAACAAAGCACTCATATGGATCAGAAAACAGACTGAGGTGTTTGTTACAGAGAGACAGAGACTGAGATGTGATGATGAACCCACAGCGAAGCACGGAGGACGCGGGTCTGGATCGTACCTGAGTATCCAAAGGAAATACTGGATATGGGGCTCAGATAGATGCCCTTCCCGTACGCTGCTCCATGCAGCTTTGATGAAAGAGAAGAAGAGGAGAGAGTTACACGCTCTGCACACGCTCCCCGTGAAAGAAGCGAAACACGGCAGATACGCGTTCACATCTGAGCTGTGGACCGACGCCGACACGAGCACAGACGTCTGATGGGATGCATTCAATGAATGAAGAAGAAAGCATCGTGGGAGATGAAGGAAAGCAAGGAAGGAAAGAAGACAGGTGGTGAGGATGATGATGATTATGGTTTCCTGTGAAGATGCATGAACATGCATTATACAGCGTGATGAACGTTCAGTCTCGTGAGAGTTTAAAGCTGTACGACTGAATGAAATGATGGGCGTCCTTCCAGGAGAAAAGCATGACATCGGCAAGCTCTTATAAAAACAGATCACTCCAGCAGGATTTTGCTTCATCTTCAGTGTTGAACACAAACCCTCTAGAAACCTCATCAAACGTCACTGATCTCAAAGTCTTCAGTAAATGCAAAGAATCAAAGCTTGAGAACGACATTTATTTTTTGCATACTAGCATAATGTGGTGTATCCCACAACGCAATGCAACTTGACCTTCCATTTCCAGTGTGATGAACGAACCGGAAGTAAATCTGCCATGATTTGTAACAACATTATTCAATCAGTCTGACGAAGGTTCATACATTTTTACACTAATTTGGATTAAAAATGCAAAATAAATATTTATTTCAAAGATGATGAAGTGGACGCCACTCATTGCACTGGGAAAAAAATATCTAAACATTCTTAAATAAAGATTATAACATAAAAACACAAAAAGTCTTATTTTCTGAAAAACGTACCAAATTTAAGTGAGTTTATACTTGAAACAAGAAAAAATATTGACCATTCCGAAAAATAAACTAGTTTTCCTTTTGAATTTAGTTTAATTTTCTGACCCCACTGACTTCTATTTTGTTGTTTTAATCATAAAGTCACTTCATTTTAGTTTCTCAGAAAACTATTTTTTCTATCTTTTGCCATTTTGCATTTCAAATATATGTATCTTGATTTATGAATGTTTAGATATTTGTTCTGGAAAACAAGACAAATACAGAGGAAAGCATTGAGAATTCAGTGAGAATTAAACATTCATTGGATTAAAAAAGCTAAATAACTATTATTTCAAAGATTATAAGTGGACGCCCCTCACTGCGCTGCAAAAACTGATGTTATTTCTTAGCATTTATGTTTCGCTTTCCAGCACAAATATCTAAATATTCTTAAATCAAGATGATAAATGACAGCAAAAAAAAAAAAGAAAAAAAGAAGTCCTGTTTTCTGATCAAACTTAAGTGAGCTTTTCTTTGAAACAAGAAAAATATCAACCAGTCAGAAAAACAAACCTCTCCCTTTGAATTAAGTTGATTTTTCTGACCCCATTAGCAGATACTTTTCTCGTTTTACACATAAAGTCAAAACAAGCCTTCTTATGCCACTTTGCTTCTGAAGTAAATGCATCGTGATTTAAGAATTCTGAGATATTTGTTCTGGAAAACAAGACAAAGATGAGCTGTCCAATGAGGAGATGTCACTTACATACCTGCAGTTTAGTATAAGAGGCATTGACCAGTCCATTTCTCAGAACTGAGTGCCAGTTCTCAATATGGGAGCCACTAGAGAGAGAAACAAGTGAGGATAAAACACGTGAAACAATCCCACAGACCAGAATAACACAGAGACTTGATGGTGCCGGACTCTTTGGACCAATAAGCAAACCTAAAACACCTAAGCATCTTGCAGACGTCCTATGATCATGGTTGCGAGTTTTGCACGATCATGCACCACTCACATTTCAGAAGATGTCAAAATCCAGTTTTAGAAGTGTGTCTGGAAAAACCTGATGACCTGTACGGTATGATGCAACGTTCATGGAGGAAAAGCACAGCGGACGATTGTTAAATCTGGCACAAGAGTATTTTTAAACACAGACGTCTGGAGATATTTCTGAGTTATGCTAGTCTTTTGTTGGCTGTTTTTGGACGACTTTTATTTCTCGTAAGCTCTAAAAGTGGAAATGTGTTCACAAAAAGAACACAAAAAGCACAGAAATAGCGCAAAAAAACCCTGACGTGTTGTCCAGTGGTGTTTAAATTTATACCACCCAATAGAAACCCGTCATTATTTTTGATGCTCCTGATATTATTTCTCTGGTGGGAACATTTCACTGAGATCTGAATAGTAGTCAGCGGCTTATAAATCTGATTTCTTTGCAGATTTACATGCACAGGATATAAAACAGGCCCTGAAACTAATAAAATTTATCACATTTTTGTTCTTAACCTACAATTCATATTTTTTTCTAAAATGAACTAAATTGAACCTGATTATATAAACATTTTCACTTTATTGCATGATTTTACTTGTTGAATTCAATCAAATAAGACAAGAAAATTGAAACCAAACACCATTTAATGTATCTAAAACTAATTTTCATGTTCATTTAATGTTAGATAATAGATCTATCTCAATAGAAAAGGGGATTTGGGATCCCAATTTCTACGCTATTCATGCAAAACGCAATCAAATCAGTTTTGTATTGTCTTGATTTTGTAAGCAATGATCTTTAGCTCAAAACTGTAGAGCGAAAAAATATAGTTGCTACATTATATTCAATAAAGCAAAATGTAGTTTGCAATTAAAATGTAGTTTGTAATCAAAATTAGTTTGTAATCACAAAATTAGCTTGCAATTAAAATGTAGTTTGCAATTAAAATGTAGTTTGCAATCAAAATTAGTTTGTAATCAAAATTAGCTTACAATTAAAATTAGCTTGCAATTAAAATGTAGTTTGTAATTAAAATGTAGTTTGTAATCAAAATTAGCTTGCAATTCAAATGTAGTTTGCAATCAAAATTAGCTTACAATTAAAATTAGCTTACAATTAAAATTAGCTTGCAATTAAAATGTAGTTTGTAATTAAAATGTAGTTTGTAATCAAAATTAGCTTCCAATTAAAATGTAGTTTGTAATCAAAATTAGCTTGCAATTAAAATGTAGTTTGTAATCAAAATTAGCTTGCAATTAAAATGTAGTTTGTAATCAAAATTAGCTTGCAATTAAAATGTAGTTTGTAATCAAATAGTTTGTCGCACTGCATCACTTTTACTGCATTTAATTTACTGCAGACAGTTTTTTTTATTATAATGGAGGCGTTCTAGTTTGTTATTTTTGTTTTTGTCCGGCTGCATTTATTTGATCAAAATAAAAATTGTAATAAAAAGTTCACACCAAATATTCAGTGCAGAGAGTTTTGTTAATTATAACGAAGCGTTGTGGTTTATCGCGTCGTGTGATCAGCTCTGATGAGAGTTTGATTGTCTGTGCTGTGCGCGCGCGTGTTTCTGCAGGTCACTGTGACTCACTGGAAGGCGAAGGTGCTGCCGTAGAGTTTCTTTGCGGTGCGAAATCGAGCTTCTTTTGCTGGCGGGCTGCTCAACAGCAGAAACTGATGAGACGTGTGCATGAACTTCAGCTGCTATACACAGCAAAAAAATTAATAAAAATACAAAAGTAATGACAAAAGCTTATGAAAGGAAAGCTGTTCTTGCATTTAAAAGTGTTCATCTTACCCTACTGAGCGGCAGCTTCACAATATGAGACCTGTTACTGGATATAATCCTGCAGAGAGAGACAGATGAAGCAATAAACCATCAGAAAGGCCTAAACACACTTACTGTGGTAAAATCACTGTAAAGCCCGGCCTGTTGCTTTTTAACTCACCACTGCAATAACGGATGAGCCAGAGGATCCAGTTTATCCATCTGCTTCTTAATCTCCAGATATGAGCCCTGATATTACAAATACAGTTTCTGAAAAACAGTCTCTGATAACTCATTTATCAATATCATATATATATTATATTATCATATATACTTTAATTTAGTCTTTGCATGATTTCCATATGAACATGGTGGGAATTATATTTTATAAATATTTAAGCATCATTGCTTAAATCATTAACTTACTGAAAGGCTTTCTAACAGTTCCTCAAAAAACAAATCTGGACAATAAAACCAGATATATCCTGAAATATTAATGAACACATTTGTTAATCTTTCTTTCCGCCGCTGTACCTGTGTCATTTCCCGAATAGACATCACACTGTCTAGAGCTTTCTGCAGACGCTCATAATTCTTCTTCTGTTCGGCACAGGAGCAATACAATAATCACACACACACACACACACAGACACAGACACAGACACAGACACAGACG